TATTTGACTATTAAGGCATCCTGAGGGAATGTCCATTAAGACAAAAATTAGATTGATATTTCTAAGGGTTGAAATAAGGTCATCAGGGACTTCATGGCTGCTTAATAAGTACAGGGAAATAGTGAATTGCATACAACCTGGTAAAAGAAGTAGATATATGGAAGTGGACACTTTAGAACAATTTGTTTTATGCTATGTGAATTTGATCTTGATTCAACTGTGTAATAGTGAAGAGTTTGAGCTTAGAATTACATTTTGAATCTACTACTCCTCTCCCTGGCATTCAGGCCTTAGGCAGCAGTTACGATTGTCTGACCTCTGTTCTGCCCTTTTAAAATATTTTTGTCCCCTCACCCACCACCTGGGCCACAGAGAGGCGAATTTCTACATAAAACCCTTTAGCCCTGATCACACAGCACAAGGAGGTGATACATGAAGATTATGATTATTCTGGAAGTGAAGTCACTCATTGTGAGCTGTATCCTGGGATGCAGAGCTTCAGACAGTCCTGGAGCCACTTTGTGCCTTTTAAGCCCTGAATTCTTTCTATTCACCAAAAAGGCTTGATTATTGTTGATCCAGTTCTAACTTCTCAACCTCTATTCACACAAGAAGGGATACAACACAGAACCTTGTAAGACCTGTAGCAAATTGGAAGGAAGCTCACAAAATAGCTTCGCATAGAGTAACAGCCAGGGAGGAGAAAGGTGCTGGTTCACCACAGGTTTCTCAGATGCAGGAAGTGAGAAGCCATTGTCTGTAGAGTTCAGGCACTTAATGACCCTGCAGTGTTTTATTCCTTTTCCCTGAGTCCATTGTGCAGGGCAGGAAACAAATTTTGTATACTGGGGGTACTCTGCCAAAACCAACCTCTTTGGGTGTGAAGTCAATGTCCTCAGGAGCCACTGGACTCGTGATGGAAAAATTCTGGAGGATGGTGGTGAAGAAAAGGAACAATTCAGCACGGGCTATACCTTCTCCAAGACAGATGCGCTTCCCTGTGGGCACAGAGGTTCACAGCATCTCAGTTACTCTTCTCTCATTGCAGGAACAAGTATCCAACACTCAAAATGAATGAATGGCTTAATTAGAGCACAGTTACTTGGAGTTTCATTCCATACTCAGCTGGCTCCAATGCAGAGTGGCACATGGCAGAAATCAACATTGCATGACAGCAGCAAAGAGCAAGAACAAGAGGGAAGGAGTAGTGGCAACAATGACTACGGAGTGGAAGTTTATCTTCCTTAAGTTGCATTTAGGCTATTCCCAGGCTAGGTGTAGTGTTCACACAAATAATCCCAGCAGTACTAAAACCCATAATCCCAGCCTTGAACATAAATTAATTTCAAACTCTAGAAGTCCACCTCATGACTGCATGATGCTCTGGGGAGACAATTAGACACAAACCATAGCATTCTGCCTTGGGACCCCAAAGTCTGATGCACATCCCTTTGTGCAAAAGCCATTTTAGTCCATCTCTAAGAATCGCCAAATTCCAAACAGTTTCAGCATTGCTGAAAAGTTCAAGTCCCAAGTCTCCTCCAAGTTCTAAGGCAAACTTTTGGCTGTGAGCCCCTGTGCAAATGCGAATAAAGCTAAACACTTTCAACATTCAGTGTACAAGATAAACATTATCATTCCAAAAGGTACACAGCAGGATACAAAGCATTGG